GTCAGACCGCTGCCCTGGTCCTTTGCAGTGTCAAAGCTCTCTTCGTCTTTGTATTCCTCTTCATATCCATTTTCTTTGTACACTTCTTTGTATTCATTTCCTTTTTGGTCTTCATACTCTTATTTTTCTTTTCCTTCTCCTACTCCTACTCTTAAAACATTTTTAATTCATTGCCTTTACAAAAACGTGTAGTCGTCTTGATAAGCTAAGCTTCTTTTGGCCTTCAGGATACACTACATTTCCAAGGGTAGAAGATGCAAGATTCTAGTTGTAAATTGCAGTTGTGAATCAGTAACATGGATGTTGTGAATCACTGTTTTCACCTTATCCTGACTGAGTCCATCATTGGTGTTAAGGATGGACAGTCGTGCCACAGATTCTCATCAGCTCTGCTTCAAATGACAGTGCAGAATCGATACTGTTGGTCTTGGTGAAAGCCGAGGCTGTATAACATACTGCAGCAGCTCAGTCACCCTTCGGTGCTTGATATCCTCAGCTGATGAACAGCTTTGAAGAGACGGCGCAACTGAGGCATTAGAATCTCTTCTGTTTCTGAAAGTAGGGCAGATTGGAAGCGTGTATATCTGTTATCACTCAGGTTCTGACGAGACTTTATGATTAGTCAAAGCCCGCTAAACATCAAAGAATGATTTGGGCCTGGATGTGATTGCTAGTTCAGTCTTTCATTAGACTACTTACATTTTCTATGTCTTCCATCATATTTTATATAATTTGAAGAAATGTCATGAGGACATTTCACTGTGTAGTGTTACCACGTCTTCACAGTTATTTACAAAAGAACTAAATTATTTACAACAGAATATGAAAACACTGGGTTTGGCAAACTTGTATTGTTGAAAGGAAAAGACAGCTGCGCAGAAAAGTGCATCTGTTTGGCAGTAACAGCGCAGTGTCTCCCAAAGTGCGTTTATGAGGAACTGTATCAAAATGCAAAATGAAAGTCTTTAATAATCAAGTGAGTCGTGAAGCCTGTTTCCTGTAGAGTGGTTTACAGATCATTTGTAGTGTTTGGAGGCATTGAAAATGATTTTGCCAATCATGAAACAAGCAGATCCATTAAACTGCAGTTTTGCATGGACTTGATGTTGCCTGTAGACTTGGGCAGAGGATCATAGTTATGTAACCTGGCCTTTGATGAAAGACAACACTGGCGTGTTTTGCTTGTTTGACATCTAGCGACTGTGATAGAATGCAGGAGCTGACTTACAATTGACTGATAAGGTCTAAAATTCATTCCCTGAAAATTGCTGCCTCGAGAGCAAAATGATTTGTATCAAAAAAAAAACAAATAAGCCGAAAATGGCTTGTTTTCACAGAATTTGTTGATTGCAAGCATTTGAAGTCACATGATAACTGGCATTTGACAAAAGTCAAACTTGCAGCATATCATCTGTCATCTGTGCCATCTGGCTGGAACAACTGAGAATTAGTTGGGTGGATTAAATATTATAAGGCATTTTAAAGTGAGGGGTATGTCTTAGGAATATGGGTAACACTTTATTTGGAGTGGTCCTTTGTAGATGATTAATAAACTCTTTACAGATTATCAGTAACACATCAACAGCATATCAGTGAAGTAGCAGTAGTGCAGCATCTGAATACATTCACGTAAATATCTTGTAGATGTTCTGTTGGTACATTACTTACATTAAGTATGTGTATTGTTAATATGTTACATCCATTACACAAAACCTAAACTTACCCAAAACCTAACCCTAACCCTGGCCCTAATCCTAACCCTAACCTTAACCTCAACACAAAACCTAATTCTAACCTTCATATGTTTTTGACGTTACTGAGAGTCCGTTGAGTGTTTGTTTAATTTGAAAAGGACCACTCAAAATAAAGTGTCACCGGAATGTGTAACAGTTAGTTGATTCACCCTGAAGAGACATTGATTGGCGTTTCCTTGTAATAAAGCCTGAATTTACATTACCTTAGAGCAGGATTCGGCAACCCAAACGTTAAGAAGAGCCATTTTGTCCTTTCTACAAATATCAAACCACCTTGGGAGCCACATATTATGTCCATTTTACCATCTTCACTGTTTTTACATTTCAATATGTGCTAATGTACCAGTGTAAGATAAAAAATCTAATGTAATATGAACGAAAATCCAGACTTACTTTGCTCTGCTTTAAGCTTTAGCTCAGCTATAGCTGCTTTTCTCACATCTCCAGCAGGAACGTTTTCCGCAAAAGTGAAACAGCTTCTTGTCAAATGTCTCTGAACGTTCGATTTTTACAAGGCTGAAGTCAGCTTCTCATTTGTCAGCTTGTTGTTCGAATTATCCCGTTCCGTTTTAGTGTTTGACAGTTTATCGTTGCAGATTAAATGTATCAGGAAACCAGCTGAATAAACGCAAATAAGTCCATTCATCTCTGAATCGAGCTAGACCGCAGTTTGCACTCCAACCTTCAGGGTTAAATGGTGAATTAGCAGTTATATATTAACTCCAGCTATTAAGACAGTTTCTTGTGAAACTGTGTTAGAATGATCAGCAGAGCTTTATTTTACTGCAAAGGAGGATTATTTGTTTTTATTCCATCTCAATAGTATGTTCACATTTGTTGTTTTAACAAAGGCTGATGTGCTTCTGTGTACATCATGGCGTGAATGGTAGCCAGCCCCTACACATCAGTAAAGGCACATGGGTTAGCTAAGCTTGATTGTGGAGGTATAGCAAACCAAAAATATAGTATTAAAATGGGAACCCCCAGTGTCACTGATGAGAACCACCACTCCTGTTGTTTTGTCTTTTTTCAGTCTAGCTGAAGTAGTGTTTTTCTTATCGGGTGAAAGTTTCTCATTCATAAATATTTGTAGTACTGCAGCATCAAATTTTATCTGCGTTCCTGTGCTTTCAACAGGGTGTATATCAGGTGTTTTACTTCATACGCTTCTAAAATGAAAGTGAAATCTTGCCATTTATTCCATCAGCGGTGCTCTACTTTATATGGTGCATTCATATTAATCTATCACAACAATGCACATAAACATACCCTGTTCCCTGTTAAATCCTGTTGAAATTATTGAAATTGAAGGATAATAATTCAGTTTTATGTAGTTCTTTGTTGCTATTTTTCCATGTTCTTTCAATCAATGTTTCATACATTCAGTTGTAGACACTATTACCTATCACACAAACACCACCTGCTTTCTCATTGGGTAGGTGCATCACTTTGGTTGGACTCACTGGCATAAAGCGTAGCTGTCTTTAACTTTTTTTGAAGCATCATACTCCCCAAATTGATATGGCGGTCCAGTCATGTATCGTTCAGCTACTTGTGATGGAACTGATTGTTCTTTTAGAAATTGAATGGGATCCACGTTGGTGTAAATGCAGCATAAGATGGTACAGATGTAAGAAAAACAGGGAACTTCAAAGATTTGTTTGGAAAGGCAACGATTGTACATGCATATTAAATGCTTAACTTACTTTTGTTGCATGGTTAAATAGTTCTTCTCTGTGATGGAGAACGTGTTGTATATGGTACTTTAAAGAACCTTTTAAAACGTTATTCTATATAGCACCAAAAAGTTTCTACTGTTATAAAGTTAAATGTTAAAAAGTACTCTCTTTGGAAAGAGTGTAGATTTAGACTGAGGAGCGTTCAATGTTGCATACCTTAATGGGCAGATTGATTGTTAATATCTATAATCTTTGCTAATATTGTCTTTTTTGCTTCTTACAGTACTTGATTTTAAAACTGGAGAGACCAGCTATTGTACTAAGTATCACCTATGGGAAGTATGAGAAAACACACGTGTGCAACCTGAAGAAGTTTAAGGTGTTTGGAGGCATGAGTGAGGAAAACATGACTGAACTCTTGTCCAGGTGAGTGGAGGTGACCAACAAACGTTGAGTAATTTAGAATATAGCCGTTGGATGACTTGCGTTCAGTCATAAGAAATTGTGATAATATGTGATTGTATGTTTGTATGTGATTGTTTTATTGACTCCTGCATGTCTTTTGAACTGTATTTTTGTATAATTGTCTGTGGTTTCATGGGGTCTTTCCTCTTTTGTCATAGTGGCCTTAAGAATGACTTTAACAAGGAGACATTCACGCTAAAGCACAAGATTGATGAGCAGATGTTCCCTTGCAGATACATTAAAATAGGTGAGTGATCCACCAGACTGATACAGGAGGGTGAGCTCACCCGGGTGACTCAGTCATGGTGACTTGCATTCATGTCATGATTTTTAGGGGAATAATAAGGATGAGGCAGAGGGAAACTGAGAAGTGCTAAATTTAGTGGAAAGATTAATGAGACATAGCAAGTCTGTGAGGGGACGGTTCGCCTGAAAGCTTATCTCTTAATACTGGAAGTCTTGAGTACACCCACTATGTTTTTAGAAATAAAAGTGTCTGTGTGTACATATACACACATATGTAGATATTGCTGCTGTCGGGACAAAACCACGTATCTCCATTTTTGTTGTTTTATACTGTTTTATTTTACAGAATTTGAAAATGCCAGTTAGTTGACTATTACAGTACGCCAAAATTTCATGATGAACAGACCATAAGAAATGCTTCAAATTTGCTTGGAAAATATCTAGTTCGATTAACTTCCCTTCAAAGTTATCAGTGTTATCACTCCTGTAAAGTTAACATTTTGGACACAGGTTTTGATCTGACAGCAGTGTTTTTACTTATAAATTGGTTTTACTAGTTGTGAACATTTCATGTAAATTGGTTTTACTCGTTGTGAACATTACTTATTTCTTTTGTTGGGCATTAAGGAATATAAGGAATATTTACAACTGTCAGTTTCCCTTAGTGATAAAAAGACTATCCACACAGACCTTGTCAGTGCAAATATTTTTGAAGAACATTCCATGTAAAAGACTTTGCCTTTTAATCTAAATTTCTAATAGAAAATTTACAGAGTTACATGTCCTTTAAGCAGGTAATTAGGAAGTGCCGCTGTCTTGCAACGCCAGCTGGTGATTACCTGCATGTCTTCATTATGCAGGGTTTCTCAACCTGTGGATGGTCCGTGGACCACCAGCGGGCTGTGAAGCACCCTCTAGTGGTCCGTGGGCCTGTGCTCAGGGGGAGGCAGTAGCTGGCAGTGGGACAGTAGAGACGTGTAAATGAAAACATGGCAGCCGCAGGCTAATTAAACGTCATCAGTTTGAGACTATGCAGCCGCGGGGAGCAGTGCAGACAGCAAGTCAGAGATGGAGAGGTTCCTCGGGGCGCTATCTTGTTTGGTGCGGACCTATCAAACTTTTTTCTTTAGTTCGCTTTGTTTCGACATTATGTGAGGTCTGCACAAAACAGCTGAACTGGTCCAGTAAAGCCTGTGGGTCTTGGGCCGCTTCCAACCAGACCCTGTTCAGTTCAGTGCTGGCGTGAACGCATTTTATAATCAAATGAGAGAATTCGTCAATAGAGCCAGCTTTCCTCTTCTTCCAGCAGCATGTCAGCACTGTATACTGTCAGTATAATATGTCTGTTTTAACATCTGAGTCTTTACAGACTCTCGTTGCACTTATATCATTCCTGCAGCTCGAGCTACAGCTGATAAAAATGACAGACAGACCTGAAAATTATATCTGCGTTTGATTTTTGGCTGAGCTTCAGCGACCTGCATAGTTAAACTCAAACTGATCAACCTATGACAAAGAAGCAGATTTCAAGCAAGGTTCACCATTGTTGTTGACTGTGACGACGCTAATCCAAAAGCCCACTGAGTGCTTATTTCAAATGAGGCGCTAAAACCTTCAAAAAAAACTTCTTCCTCTCCTGTGGAAGAAAAAAAAACAATAAAAAAAAAGTTGATTTTAGTGGTTCTGTGGGCCTCTATGCTTTATGGTTATAAACAGATGAGCCTTGGAGTGGAAAAGGTTGAGAACCCCTGTTCTAATGTACTGTGTTGTTTGATTCAGTGCCTCTGATGTCGTGGGGCCCCAGTTTTAACTTCAGTATCTGGTACATTGAGCTGCATGGAATAGAAGACCCAGATGTAGTCCAACCCTGCCTTAACTGGTACAGCAAGGTGAGTTCTTCTGTTGTACCAGTACTGACACTTCAGAAAGGAACAGATGGTGCTGTACTTGCTAATGTTTGCATGAGATGGGTGAGTGCCAGATGGTTGGGCTGGCACCCCTTACATACTTTAAATGGCAGAATTCCAATATTCTTGTCAGTGTAACATTGTTACTATAGTGCTGTGATCTGAATTAAGTTCCTCCTCAAATGATTATCAAATGGTCCCCAGCTTCTCGGCGTGACATTTCACCACCCGTTTCTTTTAATTTCATTATGTTCAATCACTGAAGATGTTTGACAGTTTCTTCCCGTCTAATGCTTTTTCCACTGACCACTTCACAGTAATTGTTTATCTAACGACCTTATTTGTCGAAAGAGTCCTTAATCTGATTACTGCCTGTGTGTTTGTTGCTGTGGTGGATTGTTACTTGTTTACACTGAAATACAAAACACCTGCAAGTATTAAACTATTCCCCAGCCTTAAGTAAATGTCTTTCCAACAAATGATGTCAAACTAGAAACAAACCAGCACGAGTTGTAGTTTCCTTCAGTGTGTGTGTACTGGCTCTAAGGCTGCGTTCAAAATATCAGTACAGCAAAATATTGTGGATAAACTCACAGGGATACATGTTTCGATCCAGTGATGGCTGTACTGATAATTGTGACTCTGCTTTTGCACAGCAAGTCAAACTGATACAGCATTTATGCATAATCTAGGAATGAGTTAGATTTTTTGAATGTTTTGAATAATGTCTTAGAATATCAAATTTTACTGAAATGCCCAAACTCCCATCCCGAGTACGATCCTTGTTAGTTAGTTTATGATCTTTTTGAAGCAGGGAGATATGGACAACAGTGAGTAGCGCAAGTTGTGTGAATATCAGCCTGGGTGTTCATGAGTTTGAGACATTCCTGGCTGATGAGAGTCCACCAAAATACGTATGCTGATGTTAGGGGTGGGGATCTCTAGGCATCTCACGATTCGATTACGATTCAGAGGGCTGCGATGCGATTATAAAACGATTATCGATGCATCTCTATGCATCTTTTTTTTATATATACCTGATTTCTGTTTTGTTGCTGTCTGAGGACTTGGTAGTTTTAAAGAAAAGTATTTGTAATGATCCATAATGCATTTAGGTCCAATATCTTTTATTAATAAAACAAATGGAAGTGATGTGGCAAGTGAACTAGAAGGCTCTCATTCACTGCTTTTGTTTGGAGACGCTGCTGCCACTCATGCTGCATAGCTGTGATAAAATGCGCTGTTATGTTGAAATAAGATCCAGTGGTAATGGATGTCCACACAGCACGTTATAGCCGTCCTACCCGTTTTCTTCAGTGATTTTCTAACTTCGGTTTTGGTCTCGTGATAGGGAGGGGGTGCGTGAACTCGCGTGCAGACTGCAGATCACATAGCAACGAGGTTTCGCCTGGCTAGTAGCGAATGAAAAAGGAAAAGATGAAGTCGCTTCTCTTTCTAACTCTCCCGTTCCACCTTAAATGGTGCTGCATTTACATTCGGCGCCTCAGTCAGAATTTAAGATGGAACAGTAAAGTTCAGCAAGAAGCTGGAGAATGAGAAGCGACTTCAGCCTCGTAAAACAGCCGAAAGCTGAAAGACATTTTACAAGAAACTGCTCTAGTTTTGAGGAAAAGGTTTCTGGCGGAGATGGGAGGAAAGCGGCTATAGCTAAAGCTTAAAGCAGAGCAGAGTAAGTGCGCGTTTTCGTTTATATTTTTTAGCCTAAACTAGTACATTATCACATACTGGACATTAAATGTTGCAGCTCCCAAGCTGGTTTGATTTTTGTTGAAAGGACAAAATGTCTCTTCTTAACATTTGGGTTGTGACTCCTGACCTAACCTGGTTTTTAATGCAGAGGGAGCTGGTTGGATTTCTCACTCATCTAGTTGTGTTTTTGTTATGTGCCGCCACAGACTGTCCGGACGCTGCACTTACCCACTTCCAAGTTCCGCCCTTTGCGTTCCGTCAACATTACGTTATAAATAAAATATTTAGAAAATCGATTTTTGACACTTGTGAATCGATTCAGAATCGTTCACGTCTGCATCGCGATGCATCTAAGAATCAATTTTTCCCGCATCCCTAGCTGACGTGTAATAGGAGTAATGTACCTTATTCCCTGTCAAACTGGGAGAGTTTGATAGTTCTTTTCACACTGTCTTGCCCCCTTTGGCTCCCCCAACATCAGTACGATGTATAAGAGCCACACCCTTGAGCTGGAGAATTTAGAGCTGAAAATGCAAAAGTGCTCCACAACACCTCTCATGAGCAGTTGTGACTTTTCCCTGAGTAATAGGGTAATTGGGTGTTGCACCTGTTCACCAAATTGCCTGTTTGTGTGCACTTTGGGCACTGCAGTGGAAGCTGTTCAGTCATAGATAAATTATAAAAAAGAAAATCTGAAAACAATCAACAGTATTTCCAAGCACAGCAAGCAAACAAATAAGCAGTACTGCAGGGTTTTAAAGTTCTCCAGTATTTAACAAGCAAGCTGCAAAAGAGGACATCTGTTCTGCCTGAAACAAACTCTCCCAGAACATCTGTTAGACTAATTGAATCATTTAAGTTTGAAGCTCATGCCCTATAGTGAATGCGTGGGAGCATTGTATAGTCTGTCTTTTACAAGGATTGAAACTGATATGCTATAAAATCCAATTACTTGTATTAAGGTTTATGGAAAATGAGTGACCAATGTACTTGTGACTCTGGTAGTGAATGATAAAAGGTGTTGTGAGCTACTCAGATGAGTCACAACTGTTTCTTTACACAAACTTTATTGGTCAGCTTTCTAGGTTTCTACTGCTTGCTTTCTCTCTAATGGTCAGTTTTCTAAGCATAAATGAAGCAAAAAATGAAACATTTTCAAAGTTAAACCTTCATGAGGCTGGCTTTCTCTGAGTAGAGGTCTGTCTCACAGCATTGTTTGTAGATTTAAGCGATGTTCTAGTAACAGAAGCTTTCTATTATCTGAGCAGTACCGTGAACAGGAGGCCATCCGCCTGTGCCTGAAGCACTTCCGGCAGCACAACTACACCGAGGCCTTCGAGTCTCTGCAGAAGAAGACGCGCATTGCTCTGGAGCACCCCATGCTCACTCACCTCCATGAGCGCCTGGTCCTCCGGGGAGACTTTGACGCCTGTGAGGAGCTCATTGACAAAGCTGTTAGAGGTACCTCATTTGATACTGCACGACTTATAATATTCAGTTTTTATCAAAAGATTTCAGTGTGTGCAGGTATTATTTAAGGTCCAGAAAATCTAATTATTCATTTCATTTGCATGAACCCTAGCATTCTCTGAAAATGTATTATAATCTTTCCAAGTGGTTTTCAAAGTATGTATGTCTGTATGTAATTAGTTACATTATGTTATGTTTGTTATGTTAGTTATAGCGACATTGTTTGTATAATCTATAATAGATTATCTATATAATCTATAATTGTATATGTTTGACCTAATCATCATTAGAATGTTTGTACTAAGGGAGTGGTTAAATACAGGCAAAGAGAATTAAAAACAGTCATTTGCGTAACATTAAACATATAATATTTAACAGCACCACAGCCTTCGATTCCTTTTTGAGGCCATAATACCACACTAAGAGTCAGAGAATCCCAATGTTACCTTGGCCTATTGTTTATCTGCTAAATAATGTAGAATATTTACATTAAGTATTATAACAATGGCAGTGTCTGATTTAGCTGTGACATGCCTTTGTAAATGTAATTAACTGCAAAAACAGACAAAACGGGAAAAAATTTGTTTGGCTGAAATTAACATAAAGCTGTAGGCTTACTTTTTAGGTGACAGCGCTTCTGTTACACAAAAATGTTGCAGCACACAGAGGTATACATTTGAAGTTGTGTTTTATTATTAAAAAATAGCTGAGAAATCAGTAGGTTTTTAATGTTGGAGAAATAACATAATCTGCCTCTTCAGATGAGATAATGAGTTAACAGTGCTAACTGGTACAACATTGGATGCTTACGAGCACTCGTCTTCTTATAGGTGGATGATGTGCAAAACATGTTAGTTTGTTTGCCTCGCTGTCTCAGCCACATCCTGAACAACGTGTCCTTGGCAATATGTCCATGTTCAGGCACTAGTTTCATAGTAGCGAAGTGCAATATAATATACATAAGTATGAGAGAACTTGACACATTGTACAGTTAAAATCTGCTGTTCACTGAACTGTTTTTCTGTATATTTTCTCTGTCTTTCCCTAATAAAATGAAACAAATATCCAAAGGTTGATTTCGGTATTTAACCTGTTTTTATTTTGTAGTTTAAACCTGATTTAAATGCAAAAAAATGCAGCAGTCCTCAAAAAAAGGATTTCAGTTAATTATCCATTATCACTCCGGAAGTTCTTTGTCAGGCAATAGGTCCTAAAATGTTTGTTTAAAGTTTAACAGTGTTGGCTGTCTGCAGTTTTTGTAAGAACTTGTAGCACATGTTAAAAGCTTAGCTGGCTCTTGCACATCTTGCCCCCACCTCTCTCCTCCCTTTTGACTCCCCTTCTCTTGTTTCTTCTGTCATTTTGCAGATGGCTTGTTTAATCAGTACATCAGCCAACAGGAGTATAAACCACGCTGGAGTCAGATCATCCCCAAATGCACCAAAGGTAGAGTGTGTGCTAACAGCACTCATACAGGCAGCCGCTGCTGTCTCCCAGACAGTGGGGAGTGCATGGCTGTGGTATTAAATGACTTGTATGCCTGGAAGATAAAAGGCTGTTTTGATATTCTCTCGTTCTCTCCTCATGTCCTCCTCTTCTGCTACTTTTTCTTGTTTCTCTTGCACTTACTTTTTTCCATTTGTGGCTTTTCCCTTTTCAACGTCCTCATCCTCTTCTCCTGTTTTTGGCTAGGTGATGGGGACGACAGTAGGCCTGGCATGAGAGGCGGTCATCAGATGGTGATAGATGTACAAACAGGTAAGATGCCTAAACACACAAGTTGTAGAGCACATAACAGCAATAGTCAAAAATACTTATTTTTAAATTTATGGTTTTATGAAAAACTTTTAAATTGTATTTTGCAGGCTGCATGATATTGTAATTTACCATTATCATGATAAGAGTTTCTGTGATAAATGCGCCGTTAAGAGCTGCAATGACGGATAAAATTACCACACAGTGCCAGAACAACGTAATTAGATTGGTGGGACAATGCGGAAGCCCAACAAGTGCTTCCCTGTGCTGGGCTTGAACCTAGCTGTCCCTTGTGAGGAGCACATAACTTAAACATTTGTCAAAACGATTATAGAAAACAAACATGCTCAAACACTATTTTATCCAGGGTTGGTATGGTGAAAATCCTGGAAAAGTCATGGAATATATAAATATGGTTTTCCAGGCCTTGTAAGTGCTGTAAAAATCCTGGAATCCTAAACACTTTCCCTTAGATGGTTTGTCATCTAGTCACATTGATTAATCTACCTTGCCAAAACACCACAAGACCAGAGACTGTTGCGTGTGCACCAAACTAGCTGATAGAGCTGTAAAAGATGAAGTAAATTATGAATCTCGGTTAACGAAGCAGTGACGTTTGGAACTAGAGGGTTGCAAATTTTGTGGAAGATGTCTTGACATTCAAACACTGGAGAAGGTGAATTTACAAGCCAAATGAAAGGGAAAACACAGCGCTGCTAGTTCTCAGACTGAGAGCATTGTGACTAGCTTCCTCACTGTGAGTCACAGTACTGTCTGCATTGTGGCTGTATATTGATGGTAAACATCATGGAATGACAAGCTAACTGCTCAGGTTCCTTCATTGACTATATGCAGCCGTTGGATAAACTTGCTATGGATGCGCAAAGAACTGATCTTCGCTACATCTACATTGATATTTAGCATTAATAAGGTTAATGAACCCAGGCTTCCTGTGTGCAGGTGTGCTCTATACTAAGAGTGTTTTACCAACCCTACCTGGTGTGTTTTGATTGGAATATGTTGTTCTTTTCTTCTTTTAAAACTGCACATCCTCACACAGTATATAGTACTTTAAGCAGACAAAAAGCAAATTTCCTTCAGTTATTTATAATTTAGAATTAATTGTTATTTATTATTTTAAAATATTTAAAAACTCCAGCAGCACTGCTGTGTCTGATCCACTCGTACCAGCACAACACACACTAACACACCACCACCACGTCAGTGTTACTGCAGTGCTGAGAATGATCCACCACCCGAATAACACCTGCTCTGTGAGGGTCCATGGGGGTCCTGACCACTGAAGAACAGGGTAAAAGGGGGCTAACAAAGTATGCAGAGAAACAGATGGACTACAGTCTGTAATTGTAGAACTACAAAGTGCACCTATATAGTAAGTGGAGCTGATAAAATGGACAATGAGCATAGAAACAAGGAGGTGGTCATAATGTTATGCCTGATGCAAAAAATAAACATCTAATAATAATGCAATATACTAATGAATATATTGCTAAAAACATCACTAAAACTAAGTGATATCATATAGTATGTCAATATCACAGTGCACTAGTATAGATGATATATTGCCCAGTACTTGCTTGAACTGTGTATAGCCTGTAAAAATGCTTTAAACGTGATTCTCTAATTATTCTCACTCTCAAACAAATGAAGCAGTAATGACTACTGTCACGGCACTGCATCACTATGAGGAGTGTTTTAAATATATCCGAAGAAATGTATATAGACACATTTTTATTAAGCTGAATGGTGCTGTTGTAGTTTGTTTTTAGCTGTTTGCTTAGTAAGACTTTATTTTGATTGTAATTTATTTTGTAATTGTTGGATTGTGACATCCAACAGTGGAATACTGAACATCACATTTTATTTATAGACTCTTGAAACTTTCTTCACTCACACACACACACACACATCACACATCATTCACAATTTTTTTTTTTTGTTTTAGAGTCATCCACTGAAACGTTTTACGGAACTAAAAATGGCGTCACTCCAAAAACCTTTTTGCCACTTTTATTTTTAAGAGTTAAAGTACAGAACAGTATGCAGTTCAACCTGTGTGATTGGACTTGAACTGGAATGTGTTTTCGGCTGCAGGGTGCTGCTGCTACGAGCAGTAGTTTGTGTACGCGCGTTGTATCGCGGTAATGTGAATTTGTGTCTTTATTCCGTTTCTGAGTGTGACAGGCTGTCGTTCGGCGGTTTAGCTTCTCAGAGCAGTAATCGATTCCAGCGACCTCGTGTAGCCCCTCTAGTCAGAGTGGCCTTGAGTTACCCCACCGCAGCTGAGTTCTGTAGCTCCAGCCCCTCTGTTCTTATCGCCATAGCAATGCTGCCATGGTAACCCAGGCCTCTCAGCCTGTCCCGATTGTCTACCGCTGTGCTGAGCTGCTACTTGAAAAGAGTAACTTTACCATAATTAGCTTGTTATAATTGACATATCTGACAGAAATTGTGCGGTTTTCATTTTCCATTTTTTATTGTCTTGTCTTTGTTGTTTATGTATTCACCTGTAGTGAATCAGTGCGATTATGTAACACAGCCATTCACTGTTATAGTGGCAGCTATTGCTATAACGTAATAGATTGAGTACATGCCTTACTTCAAGAATATTTGCTGTCTTTTGCTTTTTAAAAGAGGAGAATAAAGCAGTGCTGTGTGCTTGAGAATGTTCAAATCAAGGCATCTGGTTCCAAACAACTTCTCACGTAGGGTGACCGCAGGCTATAACTGTTATTCAACTCTGTCCGATCTCTCTCTCTCTTTCTCTCTCTCTCCCTTTTTTGTCTTTCTGTCTCTCTTTTTCGCTGTCTCGCTCAGAGACAGTATATCTTTTTGGTGGTTGGGATGGCACGCAAGACTTGGCAGACTTTTGGGCCTACAGTGTGCAGGAGAACCAGTGGGCCTGTATCTCTAGAGACACAGAGAAAGAGGTGAGTCTGCACAAGAAAAAATAATGGAATGGGAATTTCCATTGTGACTTGGTAAAAATAAAAAAAGAAGCATGAGGAATTTCAGTGATGCCTCAGCAACAGCAGTGAAACAGTTTTAATGCTGGCCATGCAAAAATAGAAGAATGGGAACTTCCACAGTGACTTGGCTAATAAAACAGCTTGTGTTGCGGCATCGCATCATTTGCCCCTGAGATTCTGTCAGGTGAAACAGGATCATCGTGACCATAGTGATGCTTAAGCCCATGACCCTACCATCACAATAATGCTGTACCAACCCAAGCAGAGTGCAAGGAGTTGCAAAGTGGAGTCCTAAGCTAGTGTCAGGGAGTGGACTCTTCACTATAAAGATTTATTACTGTCTGTGACAGGAGGAAAAATAAATGGTACATATTGTGCTTGCTTGTTACTTTGGGGTAAACAAGTTCCACAGCCTTCAGGGAATGTCAGATGCGCCATCCCTCATGTCTCATGCTTTCTGAAGGAGACATTGTTTTTTTTTTATTTGTAATTGTATTAATGTAATTGCATAAATTTTTAGGGTCCCTTGTATTTTTAAGGTAGCAGGTGTGACATGTATGATAGCTAGAATTCTAGCACAGAGTGTGTTGGATTTAATATTGTTTTGATTTAATAATCTTTTAAACCGGCTTTAAACAGATTTGTAGTTCAGATATTAGGTCAACCTAAAATGCGTCTTTGGTTTGGTTCATGAAGTACAGTGAAGTACAAAATGAAATGGTAACTCATGAATCCAGTGAACCCAATGAATAGATAAATTCAGGTCTCACTGCACATGTTAAGACATTGAGGGATTCTAAATAAGCCTGTGTTAGGGCGAAAGCATGGACAAAAATATGACATTAGCCCTATTCGGATTAAAATGTTTTTGTCTGGAAATCTAATAAAATTTTTGTGTGTCTCCTCAGTGATAAAACACTCCTATTAGGACAATGGTAAAATTACAGCAGGACCAGTGAGTTTCTAGTGTGTTTTATTTTCTATGAACCTGGATGTTTGCGTCACACTTGGCCATATGATCAGGGTCATCACTTCTAGAAAAGTAAAAATTAATGATATTGGGCATATCACTGTCCATAAAAATGTATCTCCAAAATAGTAACTTTATAGAAGAAAGCAAAAACATGAACTTTTAATGTATGCTAATGTAAAGAGGTGTTTTTCTAAGTAGTTTTGGAGCATTTGGAGCATTAATCATGAACTTTTTATATAATATAAAGGACAGATGCCAGGTTCAAATGATGTAGAAAATTAAAAATAGACAAAAATGCAGTAAATATCTGTGTGTTTTGGCTGTTGATGGTTGATGTAAGAGTTTCAGACAGTAAAGACACGCTTATACTACTATTACTACTACTACTACTACTATTAATATTAGTAGTATAATAATTTTGTAGGTAGTTTGACCAGAGGAGGATGGGTCCCCCCATGTGAACCTTGGTTCCTCCCAAGGTTTCTTCCTCAGCTCTGAGGGAGTTTTTCCTTGCCACTGTCGCCCCTGGCTTGCTCACTTGGAGGATTTACATTTCATGTTAAAACTTTGTCTTTAATGGATTTCTGTGAAGCTGCTTTGTGACAACATCAGTTGTAAAAAGCGCTATACAAATAAATTTGATTTGATTTGATTTGATATATTGTGCGTTCCTGTGTCTGTTTCAGAACGGCCCCAGTGCGCGTTCCTGCCATAAGATGTGTATTGACTCTCAGAGGAGGCAGATCTACACGCTGGGCCGTTATCTGGATTCCTCTGTCAGAAACAGCAAATCCCTGAAAAGTGACTTCTATCGCTACGACATCGATGCTAACACGTGGACCCTGCTTAGTGAAGACACGTCTGCAGATGGTGGCCCTAAACTCGTATTTGACCACCAGGTACACGGCCTTCTTTAACCGTCTGCAGATCTTTTGTCTCTTTCTGCATTTTGTTCGGCTCTTTCAAAGCCATTGATCACAAGGTAGTTACGTTAGTAATACTAATCAGGTCTAGAGCACAGTTTTTTTTTTTGTTTGTTTGTTTTTTTTTGTGGCAGTAAATGATCATTTGGTGAAAAAATTACACAGTTTGGACAGGAGTACGGACAAATATCAAAATTCAAGATTATGCTTAAAACTGTTTTTTAACAATGCAATATATTTTTGTCAGTTTTTATAGATAACAGTATCGTACAGTGTCAAAAACCACAGAAGCAAGTCTATTTGAGATTACTTAACAACTCAGTGTGGTTTGATGCAGCTGTATGATGATTTAAGTCTGCAGTTTGTACAGTGCTAATTGGTGGGGATATTAGCCTTGTAGCTCCAGTACATAACTAAAAACACATCAGAAACACCAAGTGCGTCTTGAGTTATCATTCACAATTGGGGATGTAGTTAATGAAGGGGAGAATTGTTTAGTATTGTTTACAGCTGAATGATTTGGGGAAGATATCTATTTGTGATTTTTCTCCCCAATATTGAAATAAAGTGAAATCTTTCACAAGGTCAAAACATCAGTGTTCTTGATAATATAAGCTGATAATAAGAATTACAGCTTTTTCAGTTTGAAAATTGCACTCCTTCAGATTATGATTTTGATACAACAGTTCATCGAAAAAGCTAATCTTTTAGTCCCACTAAAAGTATTAATCCAGTCTAAAAGAGAGTTTTAATTTTAGCTCTCAAGTGTGGTTTTATTTTATTTATTTTTTTAATTGCAGGGTGATAATTTGGTAAAAAAAAAAATTGCACACTTTGGACAAAAGTACAGACTTCAAGATGACCCTTATGACTACAGTGTTGTTTCTGTTATTGACTATATAAACTATTAATTAAAATTGCTGTTCTTGCAAAGGCATACAATTGCACTCTTTTAAATTGTGATTTAGATATATAAATGGTTATTCTTTCAGTCCTACTACCCATTCATATGCTCAGACAATATTTTCAAAACTCGCTCTCTCACACAGATGTGCATGGACTCAGAGAAGCATATGATCTACACGTTTGGTGGGCGCATTCTTACATGCAACGGCAGCGTGGACGACGGACGGTCGTCAGAGCCACAGTTCAGCGGCCTGTATGCCTACCACTGCCAGACGGGCACCTGGAGCCTGCTTCGGGACGACTCCTGCAACGCCGGCCCTGAAGATGTCCAGTCCCGCATCGGCCACTGCATGCTCTTTCACACGGTCAGTCCACTGAGCCGTATCTGCAGCCCTGATCTGGCCTCTGGCTGCTAAGAGGAATTTTTTTTGATAGCTTTGTTACTAGTTAATGAGAATTTACGTGAGAAATAACAGAAAACCTTTAAAAACAGTTGGTGACAGTGTCTGTGTTCAAGACTTTGTATTCAGGGATCTTGTGGCAGTTATATATGAAATATGGGGACCGGGGGGCAGGAAGCAAATACAGACCTCATTTTCTTTTAAAGTTGCCCATAAAGATGCCTGGAAAAGTTGCATATGTGGAAAGGATTGTTTTCTTGTTTTTATTTCAAAGCCGTGTTATGTAATTTTAAACCAAAAAATGAAACATTCAGCATTTTTTCAGTGTGGATCCCAGGATTGTTTAGATTCTTTGAAGATGAGAGCAGGAGTGGGATTGACTGATGTGCTGGATTTTGATGCTGGATTGTTTGTGTGTTTATTTTTCAGAGGAATCGCTGCCTGTATGTGTTTGGAGGCCAGAGATCCAAAACATACCTGAATGATTTCTTCAGTTATGACGTGGACGGCGATCATGTAGAAATCATCTCGGACGGCACCAAGAAAGACTCAGGCATGGGTAGGAATGTGGTGCCAAGGCTGTTGGCATGTGTGCTGCGTTTTGTTCATTGTGCCTAGGTGTAATAGTAAAAGCAGATGTCAAGTCATACTGGGTTTTAATGCATTAATGCTCTATTGATTTGAATGCATCAGTGCAACATCGCTATGGGTCTGCATTATGGTGCTTGCTGTTTCTGTTTTGGATGAGGGCTCTGGCATCTTGTAAAAATCCCTGCAGAACCTAAAATGTGATATTGTTGTTTATGCTCTGCGTGAAGTGCAGGTTTGACATCATTGCTTGTCATAAAATTTCAAGGGCATGGGCATGATGTCATCTTGAAGAGACAAAGAAAGGATGCCTCGTGGAGGATAGAGTTATCAGAAAGCTCTCCTTAAAAGGACAGCAGAAGAATCTTGGGCATGAGTATGAGCTCATTCCCAGACATAGACAGGAGTCAGACATGCCTGATGTCACCACTGGGTACTGTAACCCACATGGTAGAGGCATGGTAAGAATGTGATCTCACCACTTACGGTACATTTACTCATTAATGCTGTCACTCACATCAACATGCTGCTGTGTCTTTGGTCAACCGTCAGCCTGTGAGTTACTAGGAAAAAGTGAACTGACTGTCGGGAAGGGTCGAGGCTGGCTTACTCAGGTTGCGAAATGACATTGTTTAGTAAATAGCTAACTCAGATTTTAATTGTTATTGGCATATGCTAGCATGGTTGCACTTGTAGACCAAGATCTAACTGAAATGAGTCTCGAGTAGGACTGCATGATATACTATAAACAGATTACGTGTGGCATCTGAACATGCCGTGTTACTTAAAACTATGCTGATGCTCCTTATTGAGAAGTGAATAATAGATTACTGTGTTAGAATAGTCAGATATCTGTGTTAGATGTTAGATTCTTTTTTTAAAACTCATTTATTGGCTATTATAAATGGCAGTATTGATTTATCTGCAACCAGCATATATCGGCTGAAAATACCTGCACGTTGATTTTAACGGTCAAGCTCTGCAGCTGTTAATGATGTGTTTGGCATGGAAACTCTTACTGCGGTAGCAATAAAAATAGGATTTATCACGGAAACCTACTTCTCAGAGTAAAAGATTATCCAAAGCTTTTGACATAGGTCTCTAATAGAAGTTATCAGAAATCATATTAGAAACAAAGTTAGCATCCCCATTGTTCAGTGAAAATAAATTAAACACACAGTATCAGATTGTTACTTGCAAGAACATATGTGCTCAGGCCTGTCACAGTTATTACATACTCACTTAATTGCAATTATTTGAGATGATCGCAATTATTTAAGCTGACTGCAATCATTTTTAGATTTTTCAATCATTTTAGGTTTCAGCAAACAAAATGTTAATTGAGTGTGTTGGATTGAAATAAATGTAAATAAAAGAAAGCAGTAAATGTGTTCATAGGGACAAATCATGAATTTTATTTTAGCTATGTAGCTAATTCAAATTTTTTTTAGCATGTATGCTAGTAGAATTAGTGTTTTTATGTAAGCTTTTTTTGACAAATCTGTGTAAATGTATGATTTTTGTGAGTTAATTGCAATTTTTATATGCTAGTTAATCATCATCTAAAATTTTGTCATGACAGCCCTTGTTAGCCCTAGTAGAGCTATTTAAAACAAACAAAAAAAACAGGCAGAAAGTGACAGGGGGCAGCAATGTCCTCTTTCAGTGTTGTTGAATTTCCACTGCTGTGTGGAAGTGACCATTACTCTAAAATGTGACCGCAGAGCCCAGTGCAAGATAATGGCCTTAAGGATGGGTGGTCTGTTACTCTGTGCTCAGGCACAGTGTCTGTGAAACCGCTTTTGCCTACAGGGGGCACTCCTGCTGGGCTTTATGCCAAAACCGAGGCGAATTAGAGCCTGAGGAGATGACTGCGGGCTATGCACTCTGCTCCTGTTTACTTTGGTTTTCATTATACAAAGCAACATATCTTCAGGACATGCGTTTTATTAGAATTAGATGACAAATATGTGTGTTGCTTAGTTTGGGAACAGGATCCGGGCTTAAGTCATGCTGTCTGTCCTCGCTTTGCAGGGATATAGCGGGTAAACATCTTTTCCCGTCAGGTTCTGAGAAGTTAAGCCTTGTTCTAGAGAAGTGACCGAGTTCTTAGAAATCCCTGTACGCCTACACTGTTTGTGGCAATTCGCAAACTCGACACACGCAGTAATTTGATTGCTCAGTCATGACACCACAGACACTTGCACGTATGTTAGCTCACAGAACAATGCACTGGTAAGCATTCTCCGATAAAGTGGACTTTTAGGCCTTATCAGCTGACGTTAATGGCGCAGAATGGTGGTGGGTTTAATATTTTAAGACATCACACACCCATTAATGTTTGTCATAGAGCACATGCAGCAGATGTAGTAGTAGATAGCCATCTATATGGAGGCGGAGAACGAGAGGCAATGAGATATTATACAGGCAAAGGCTAGTCAGACACTTCCTGCCCTCGTAAACACGCTACAATCTCAGTCTTGGCCTCTGCGTTCTTTCGGTAATAGTGTTAGCCCCTCTGTGTGTGTGTGTGTATGTGTGTGTGTGTTTGCAGCAAAGAGAAAGAGAGGGAGTGACAAAGAACAAGAGCACGAAGAGAAAAGAACAGAATGTATTTTGGCAGCAAAGAGGCAGCAAGTCCAAACATTGTGCACATAATCAGTTTCAAATGTTTATCATGCTTCCTCTCTGAGTGATGAAAAATATTTCCATTATTTCGCCTGGCCCTCGTAGTTCAAAACCAGGATCTGACCAGTTTGTCGGCCCATAATCTGCTCAAGTGGACTGGAAAAGACTCTACCCCACAGTACAAATACTTCCTTAGGCTTTAGGTCTGTGCCAATTCCTGTGTAAATACTCCTCTGACACCAAACCCAGCCTTATGCACTGGTCTTGTTTGCCCACGACCTTGGGTTGGTTAAATTGCGCATTAAAGCAGTCCCAGCCTAAAAACAGAACATGTGCATAGGCTGGCTTTGTAGATAAACCCAATGATAAGTCTTTGTGGTTTGGCCTTTGCTAGTTCCTGTCATACTTCTCTGCTCTATTGCTTAATCTGTCATGTTTATTTTTAAACTCCTTCAGCTGTTGTTTTTAATTGGCTGTTGGATTTGATATATGCAAGGCGTCATACAGTATATTAAACAGCATCTGTTAAATATTTAAATTATGTCAGAGGGATGTTTTTATGATGTTCTGACCTCTCTCAGCATGTTCTCTCTTTTGGATGTCACTTACAGTTAGGTTTCTGATGCTATTCAGTCTAGTTTTTTTTTTCTGTTGTAATGCAGTTTCCTGTGCTGACAGCTTAGCTCCTCAAAAGTAAGTGACAGCTTCTCCCTTAGTCACAATGTAAACAGCGTCTGCTGCTGCCAAGGGCACTGAGGAAATAGGAATCTGAATTAATGAGTTGTGATATTCATGTGTGGTCTCCTTGGAAGCACGCTGGTAAAAACACTATCCATCAATCAGTGGTGTACCTGCATTGCTCATAATGATGAGCACTTTGAGTGCTGTTGTTATGGATGCAAATTTTGACATATTATTTTGACTTATTAACGACTGTTACTAGTTAACCAACACACTTCATGTCATGGGCACACCCTGTAAAAGCGCTACTGCTGCTTTAGGCTTGTGAAAAAACATAGCCTAACATAACAGAAATGACAGGAACATAAAGTCCTCTTACATTTACCACATATGTTTAACCCACGTTAACAAACACACATGCCCTGATTGGGGCTCGCTTGAAGTTCATATGCATTGTTTAAATAATAATCAATACAAAGTCGGTAACCTGCAGCTTTAAAGCTTTTTTTGGTCATGTGGCCAGCATACATAGGCTAACAGTTTGCTGACAAACACGTTTATGGGCTACAGCTTAAGGCTACACTCAACAGAAGCGACATTCTTTTAAAAATGCACTGTGTCATGTGGCTAAATATCCTAGTTGTAACAGTGCTGTAAACTATGTTTAGGATGTTTTAAAGTCCTTTTCTACTCATTTTCATGCTTTACTTCTATGAATTTTTTGTTTTTTCAGTTTACATTGAGTTGGGTTGTGGTTAAATCTGGTGTCGGTACCGTCAGGTCTGCCAAAGTGGCAGAGTTAGCACTGTGTATACGTCAGCTACTCGCATCCCTCTCCCTCACATAAAGTGACTGCTGTCCTGCTGCTCTGTGTCCCAGACAGAACTGCCTGCCAAATAGGTTATGTAAGCTTTTTTAAGTTTGTTAACAGTGCTTGTTATGAAGGTTAATTTCACTATTGTTTGTAGTGTAGCTAGACGCTCCTTCCTACTTGCTACTTGTTGAAGGATCCTACAGTAAGCTAATAACTTGATTACGAAGAGCATGGTAGACAGCAGTTCATCTTAACTGTAGGGGCTGTAGATACTGTAGCAGCTCCTCTGCTACTGGAGCTGGGTTGTTTACGTTGCCTGGGAGACAGCGCTGTCAATCATTTTGCATTCTGACACACCCACACAGTTATGAGCAGGCAGCAGCATAATATTTGTGAAGCATTTATGTATTAAATTGTGTGTATATACACCGGTCAGGCATAACATTATGACCACCTCCTTGTTTCTACGCTCATTGTCCATTTTATCAGCTCCACTTACTATATAGGTGCACTTTGTAGTTCTACAATTACAGACTGTAGTCCATCTGTTTCTCTGCGTACTTTGTTAGCCCCCTTTTACCCTGTTCTTCAGTGGTCAGGACCTCCATGGACCCTCACAGAGCAGGTACTATTTGGGTGGTGGATCATTCTCAGCACTGCAGTAACACTGATGTGGTGGTGGTGTGTTAGTGTGTGTTGCGCTGGTACGAGTGGATCAGACACAGCAGTGCTGCTGGAGTTTTTAAACACCTCAGTGTCACTACTGGACTGAGAATAGTCCATTAACCAATTAACAGAAATTTAAATGTTGGAAACCATGCTGACATGGCTAGTATTTCTAGTATTGCCTTTTATCACAGGCTCTGGTGCAGTCGGTTGCAAATAAGTGGAGTCAAGGAGTCAGCACCATTGAATCCATCTGCTGAAGTTGAGAGTCGACTCAAACAGTTTTTGTTGGTTAGATAAATATCAAGTTATTCCATTTATACATCAGAACAATTAGTGGTGACTAGGGGATGCTACTGAATGATATATTGCACAGGATCTTGAAGGAATATTAAGCGGTATTTTACCAGCCGAGTAATTGATTATGCACTCAGTTCATTATTCATGCCTGTCCCTATTTTCCAAACAAACAGATTTTTAATAATAATTATAGGGCTATTAATTATTATTTGAATAGTTCGGTACACTATTGTTCCTTAGTATTCATTTCTTTATTTTGTTTTTGGAGGATTCATCTTTTTTAAGCCACAAAAGTTGTAGCCTAAAATAATTTTTTTCAGCAAAAACCTTTTGGTAGAACTATTGTTGTTTATTGTTAATCTATTTGGAAATTCATATCTAGTTTGCTTGAATGTATCAAATTCATGTCATGCATCCACGTCACCGCTCCGTAAAGCGCGACAAACAATAAGCGAAATGCTAGATGAAAAAATCTGCGATAAGTGGCTGGTATACCATGGAGGTACATGTTTGATGAGTCATCTCAAATATGTAAGTAGTGATCCTTATCAGAGTAGCACCATGCGTCCAGTCCGCACTTCCTGACTCAGCTCTGTCACGTAATCACTTCAGGGTAGAATATTAGCTCTTTTTACTTCCTTTCTGTTGTAATGAATAATTTACAGCAGGTTTAAAATTTAACAAAACAAACAGCAAATATGTTTATTTAAACAGTGTTTTAACCGTATCAGTAAGAGTTTCGTCCACAAACTGTTAGAAGCTACTCTACAACTACCATAATCATCACCTGTAAGTACATTATTACAGTTGTTTGCAAAAGTCTGAACACGCCTGGTCAAATTTCACATATTGTTGAAAAGAAACACATCCTCTACAACTTAAATATTGCATTTTTCTGCAAATTTTAGAGCACAATTTCTGTTAATATGCCATGTTTAACATATTGGGGAAAAACATAACATAAAAAATGTTCCATAACTTTTACACAGGCTGCATTTTATGTTAAATTCAACAAATAAACAGTGATTGTACTGTATTCTCTGTAGAGGACGTGTCAACTTATTTTCACTTAGTAAATCAACATGTTATTTGCCCTGGGGTGCCAGAACCTGGGTGCATACAACTGAATTTTAAACATAGTTTAGAACACTGTGGTCATTATAGTGAATGTGAGTGTGTGATTTGAATGAATCTCTGTGGGGCTCTCACGAGTGGAAAAAACAGACTTTGTTTTGACAGATGTGCGTGTAGTGCAGCCATTGTGAACTGAAACATTGATTAGAGTGGAAGCGGATCTGTTCCATCCAGCTGACGACTAATGAACGATGCATATATTACGATTTTTAGGGGTGATTTTAGAATAAATATTTTTGTACTTGTTTGTAAATGTCTGAGTATTTAAAGCCTGTAAAATGCTATTTGGGTGATCTGTAAATGTTCCAATAATAATAATAATCAATCTTTTGTGTTTCAGTACCAATGACTGGGTTCACTCAGCGTGCCACCATTGACCCAGAACTGAATGAAATTCATGTTCTGTCAGGCCTTAGCAAAGACAAGGACAAGCGAGAGGAGAACGTCCGCAACTCCTTCTGGATATACGACATTGCACGCAACAACTGGTCAGTCTGTCTGTCTCCCTCCATCTCCCCACCAACCACTCACTTTCCTTTCTTGCGCTGTTTTTCTAGCTCTCTCTTAGACGCTTTCCTCTCTCACTCGCTTGCTAACTTGCTCACTCACTCCCTTGCAGTCCTTGAGAATCAGCACTATTTCTCTGGCACTGCTTTTTGTATAGTTCTTATACTTGCCAAACCAGTTAATCATAAGAACAGATAGAAATAAGAGCATCTCTGCTCTTGTACACATGAAAAACAGTTTCAGCACTTTAGCTCTTACAAATTAATACTCTCTCTGTCTTGCACGCAAATATAATTCCCTGTGGAGCATAACTAAAGCAAATATTATACTAAAATGGTGCAACGCCAAGGTTCTCTGACCCCAGAGTCAGTGTACGATTACAAGTAGCTCAGCTTTCTCTGCTTTTTGCTCTGTCTGCTTGCACAGATCACACAAGCTTGAAAGTGTGAGTTCTGAAATGAATGGCCTTCAGAAGGTTGGTAATCTTTGAGCCCATCAGAAGAGGACAAGATGTTCTTATGTGTATACTTGAGGGGGAAACCCACTTTGTTCTTTGTTAGCTAATTTAAGTCCTTTCCTGTTAAATTCTGAAAGAACAATCTGTCACTGTTTCCTCTGGTTCTGCTACACTGGCTTCTGTTGTGTTTTATGTGGCTACAGCCTGTGTTTTCTCTGACAGAGCATATTTGTTTCTGTATTTAAACTTAGATTCGTTGTGAAAAACAGACAATATGACTTTACTTATGTTATTGCTAATTCACTTTGATGGGGAAAAATATGTGTGTAAAACCATAAAAAACAACTTTCTATTTTTGTCATTGCAGTAGGAATATGCTGATGATTGCCTCGTATCGAAAGCCAGTAGATTGAATCTGATAAGCCTTGACAGGCACCCACAATCGTTTTCTGTAATATCATGTGTGCAATCTTGTACATACGTAAAATTAGACATTCTAAATGATGGATAAGCCATTCACGTGAATCTCCCCAAGCACAGCAGCAGTTCATCGTCAAAATGTGGAAAGAGAGTCATGTTTTCTGACCCGTGAAGTTGGTTTCATTTTTACATTTTCAAGTTTCCTTCACTAGTTTTTGTGCAGTGCATGTAAATCAGTTAATATGTTTAAATCATCATTGTAAGCAACCAAGACAATCAGCCTTCATTTAAATTAAGAAATTCATTTAGAACCCATTGATTTCTGTGAAAGCTTAATGATCGTCTACAAATTCAATCACAACATGCTTGGGATCCAAGCACGACGTGCCTTATGAAACCCAAGAGATTGGCAAAGTTTTTAGAATAAACTCAATATATAATAGATGTGGGGTCTCAAAAGAATATGTCTGCCAAATTCCACACAAACTGACCTTTTGATCTTGGTAAGGAACAGATTTTTAACAAATAATTAAAATGCACAAAATAATTTCACAGCAGTTATACCTGTATTAAAGTCTCAGTTTGCACCAGAAAATTGCTAAAATTATCTCCAAGGAACAGTGCAGACGGACCCCGGTCAAATTACACATTTTGTTGATTTTCTATAACAAAGTAAGTTAACACATCCGCTACAGAGAACAAATTTAAATATGGTATATTAAAGCACATTTTAATGCACAGTTTCTGTTCATTTGCTGAGTTTAACATACAGGAAAACAAATGAAACACAGAATCTAAAATGTGTGATAACTTCTGCACAGCCTACAAGTAATGTGTGATTTTTGCCCAGTATGTTAAATTCAGCATATAAACAGTAACTGTTCATTAAATTGTGCAGAAGTGTGTTCTCTGTAGAGGACATGTTAACTTATTTCCTCGTGTGTTTTGACTAAGTGTATCCAAACTGTTGCAAATCACTGTATTGGAATTCATGCTGTCTGATATGGAGTCTAGGCTTTGAGTTAATATTTACAGTGGGATAATATTGTTGATTAAAAATGTAGATACATCCAGTGATGTTACGGATGTGTGTGTGTGTGTGTGTGTGTGTGTGTGTGTGTGTGTGAATACCTTCAGGTCGTGTGTGTATAAAAATGACCAAGCTGTAAAAGAGAACCCCAGTAAGACACTCCAAGAAGAAGAGCCATGCCCTCGCTTCGCCCACCAGCTAGTCTACGATGAGCTGCACAAGGTAACACTGCTTATTATAGTGACTTTAATATTACTGCAAAATAAAGATCACAGGGCAGCATAACCTTTCACACTGTACCTTCATTAAACAAATATCAGGATAATATTCATCTGTCTCAGGTGATGTCCCTGTTTTACGCCTCGCCATTTTCTTGACTGGGAGAATCAAAATGTGCTCTACGTGCTGCATAGCTGACAGAAAATTTATTGTCACGTGCTTTTGCATCGGTCAGATGTTTAAATTTGACGGATTTCAAACCAGGTGTTGATGCCATATTTTTTGTACTCCAGAAGAACAGACAGGTTATATAATACATGTTCTAAAACGTCTTTTAGAAATAACAGAGATGTTTCTCCATAATGCTAATTCAGGTGGATTTAGTGCAAATGTTTACTTTTTTATAAACGTTTATCTGTCAGCATCAGCACACGTGTATGTGGAAAATATCAGATATGGGCATCGTTCCATGACGATCTGGTCAGATTACATGTTGATTTTCTAGGTAAATAAATTAACACATCCTCTACAGAAAACATACTTCTGCACATTATAATGAACAAATGCTGTTTATTTGTTAAATTTAACGTGTTGGGGGGGAAAAAGAAACAAGTAATATGGTGCGTGCAAGAGCGATGGCACGTTTTTTTTCTTTTGTTTTTGTTTTATTTTTTAATAAATAGAACTCACGCGCTGTATTTAACTTTGTTCTCTGTAGAAGTTATTTTATTTTCAGCATAACCTGTTACTTGACCAGGAATCTTGACAGGTCTACCACCGGCCTGAAAAATTGAGGGGAGGAAACGATGCTGTTGTTTTGGGACTGAAATTGCTAATCTTTTTCATTTCTCTACCACTGTGCATTACCACGGCAGGTGCATTACCTGTTTGGGGGAAACCCTGGCAAGTCGAGCTCTCCTAAGATGCGGCTAGATGACTTCTGGTCTCTGAAGCTGTGCCGCCCCTCAAAAGAGTACCTGCTCAGACACTGCAAATACCTAATCCGCAAATACAGGTACCATGAGTGGTGGTATGCTGTCTTTGTATTTAGTGTCAGCAGATTAGGGTTGAGATTCTGTGGGCATGGTTTACAAATACATTTGATAATTATATAGTAGATCATTAGGAAAACATACATAATTTGTATTATACACAGTTTAGATATTGGATTTCAATGTAAACAGTTTAAATATTCTTTTTTACTTAATCAAATTTTTAATTCGCTTTCTGTATAGTTTGGTAACAGGGCGGTAGAAAGAGGGTTTCTCTTTGTTATTGTGCTCCTGCAAAGTTATATAATTGCCATATGATGCTGCACTAAAGCAGGTGATTAAATTAGAGCTGTATTTTTCCATGCGTCAGTGGCATTTCTGACCACAGAGTGCCCTCTGGTGGTGAATTGCAAAATTACTGCTCTAAAAAGATGACTGCTTAGCATGTTCAGTAATTGTGTCATATTTGACATTTTTATGTTAACTGTGCTTGTGTTTCATATTTTTGTTTTAATATCAGGGAATTAAACTTAAGTGATTTTGGATTTGTGTACAGCTAATTTTAGAGTCTTAATACTTTCACTTATGTAAAACCTCTTAAAAATCTGTGCGCAGATTTGAAGAGAAAGCTCAGACAGAGCCTCTTAGTGCCCTGAAGTACCTGCAGAATGACCTGTCTCTGACTGTGGACCACTCTGACCCTGATGAGACTAAAGAGGTGAGGTCTCATACAGCCATTACTGCCGCTATGTTACTGCATGGCTCTCCAGTGTACAAGCTGTAGCTGGTGTTACGTTTGAGTCAGATATGTTTAACATAGTAAAATGTATTTTAATTTCCATTTACATTCATTTACATTGTTACAATTTTTTTTAGCAGTATTAAGCTTTGAGATGTGTTATTTGGATTTCACTCACAGCAATTAGTGGTAGATTCTGATTAGATTCTGCTGCTGCTAGAATTTCTATGGTTTATTCTGCCTGCCATGGTGATGGGGCTGAACGATTTGGGGAAAATATCTAATTGCAATTTTTCTGACCAATATTGCAACTGCGATTTAAATTGCAGTTATTTTCTGTAAATTAATTTGTGGGGTTTTTTTAACCAAGAAGACTTGTATGTCCACTTTTTCTGGCTTGAGGGTTAAACTCTTTATGTAGAGCTCCAGACTGTCATGGGGGCTTGGTTTGTTCTGATTGGTCCAACTCCTTTGTAGGTAGCTCACAACTTGTAAAAGGTCCAGTTACATCAAATATATTGCTTACAGAGGTCCGAACAAACAAACTAATGGGAGTGCATGGTAACAACGGTTATCTTTAAATGCTTAACCAGTAATGATTGGTCCAGGCAGCTAATAAATTCAGATAAGACACATCAGATGCATTTTGCTGTTCTATTTAGTGTATATTTTATTTATCTAATGAGCATTTTTAAATTATATGGCTATTGACTGTTGTTTGTTAAACAAACATATGTAAGCAGAAAATGTTTGGAAGAAAATATGGAAGATAAAAGTCTTAAAGTTCAAAATAAAAAAAAGTCCACAGAAGACAACATTTCTGTCTTTTCATAAATAAGACAATAAAATTAAACAAAAATAAACAATATTAAAGGCTGTTCGTAATGAGCATTTCATGCTCTTCCGCTCCTCTTTAAAAGTTTAAATTAAGTTATTTGTGCTCAGAACTGGATTTTGTTGGTAGGTTAATTTGAAGTGATTGTTTTTGTTTCACAGGCCCTGAACAGATTAGACACATGATTTTTAAAGTTCAAACAGGGAGAGAAATGCAGTTTTCTGTTCATTTATTTTAAACATTTTTTTCTTTAAACCATGTCGCTTTGGCACTCAGACTAGAAAAAGTAAATGAAATTAAAAATCTATTTTAATTGACTTTAATCGAAAAAAGCTGCAGATTTGTTTTCAAGTGCTCGGCTTAGTCAACTGGAATATTTTGCTGGGTAGTCACCAAAGTCCCCTGGCTGATGAATCGAATATAGACTGTAATTAAAATTATAACTCTGATTTGAAACCTGCAGTTTTTCAAATTGTGATTTCGATATCTAAACAATTAATCTTTTAGCCCTTTATGTTGTAAACTACTTGAAATTAATTGTCCAAGCATTGATGTTGAGTTGTAATGTCACTTGCTTATGCTTAACAGTTTCAGCTCCTGCCCTCTGCTCTCTTCAAGTCTAGCTCGGACTTCATTCCACTAGGTAAGGCAATAGCAACCTGTCTTCACTAACATTTCATGCAAATGACCCACAGTTCACAGCTTTTGTCAGCTCATTTACTGTCAGAAACTCATTTATGATTCTTTCTGTCATTTCTGTTTTCTATTTATTTACTTAATTTAGCATTATTGACTCGTCTTTCTGCTCCGCCTTTTTGTTTTGCAGGTTTTTCTGATGTGGATCAAACATATGCTCAGCGCACGCAACTCTTCGACACACTGGTCAACTTCTTCCCCGACAACATGACCCCGCCCAAGGGTAACCTCGTTGACCTCATTACCCTGTAGCCCCGCCTCCCCACACTACTCCACACCTCTCTATGCCTCTCAGACTCCTCCCACTGAAAGCAGAAGTTATTTTTCTACATCTTTCCACTTCAGATTTGCCACGCCCACTGAATGTGTTCTCTTCACATGGGGGAAGCGCTTCTGAAGTAACACTGATGCTTATTTAACCTACAACAACTGAACTTTCAATGTATATAAATATGTGTATGGAGGAAATATTAAGCCAAATCTGAAATCATGAAGTCATTGAAGTGTTTTCCCCTGCCTGGAGCACTTGGTTCTTTTTATTTTATTGGTTTTTCCTTCCTCTTTCCCTCTTCCCCCCCAGGTTGAGAAGGTTGAACGAGCAAGAAATATAATACCCAAAAATCTGCCAAAACTTTATTTTTCTCCTTTTATTTTAGCCAGCTTCAGTTTCATGTCTGGTTCAGTTGTATTATGTTTCTTTTATTTCATTTTTGGAAGGCTTCTTTAGTGTTTACTTTAGGAGGGGTAAGTCTGAAATGATCATCAGGTCTGTGATGTGGCCCACACTTCAGCAACTGCTAAAGTTATAGCCAGTGCGGCAGTTGTTTTCTTTTGTATGTGTGGGCTGTATATTGTAGCATTTGATTGCCCTGTAAAGGTTTTGCTGAGACTGCTGTTGTGTGAGTGCAATTTCAGTTTGCACTCTGAATTTCTAAGCCTGTGGGAGTTTGTGAATGTATTTCTCTTTACCCCTGCTGCCTGTTTCTTTCTTTCTTTTTTTCTTTTGGAAAAATAGATCAAAATGATGGTCTTAGTCTGAACCTGCTGCTGTAAGGTTGTCTTCATATAATGATGCAACAGCCATCGAACTTGAGCTCAGCAGTTCAGGAGTGCAGACTTCCATTAACTGTTCAGTCATTCGTAAAACCTCTAAGAAAAGTCAGTAGATATTTGTTGTGCGATGTGATCTGAACACGTTTTTTCAGATGAAACCACTGGTGCTAAATGACATAGTTATTTCATTCCCAACGTTGTCATTGTTATATTGTTAACACCCATCTCTTGTTTAAATGTAGTTAATAGCTATTTATTCTTAGCTGACTGGTCATAAAGCATAACCACAACTGACGTGTCCATGCTTCGCCTAAACGTCTGCTCTTTTGTTGAGAGATTGGAGAAGGTTTACATGACGGTGGCCAAAATCCTATTCACCCTAATGAATTTATAGTTTGGAGTTTAAATGCTACATAGCATTGAGTTTCCAGATTAAATGCTGCCCCACTGAGTTTAGAAACCTAGCAACAAATCTGCTGTCATGCAGTGTCTGCATGCAAAATAAATATTATTTAAAATGAATAACACACTCTAAATTTGCATATTTTGATAAAAATTGAGTTACAGTTTCACTTTAGGTTGAATGGGATTTTTGTAAACTTGCAGCAGTTGCTATGAAAGGATGCATTTGTGGAGGTCAATTCCAAAAGCAATTCCTGCTACATTTCTTCTCGTAATGCAGATGCACGACTCCTACAATGTGTACCGGCACCGACTCCAAATGAGCCTTACTGGGAACCGCCAGATGTGTCATAGCCCCTTTACCTTCTGTTGTCAGTAGTGAGATTGTGTCTATGTGTAAGGTTTTCACTTGTCCAGTAGGTCTTGGAGAATCAAGGTACTTCTGCATTACCTTTGCCATTGATTGTTCCTGTTGATGGCCACGTGATCCACGGTCCAGTGATGCTTTGGGAGTCTCATGATGGCACTACTGGACAGGCCAGAATGTTTTAGAGGTAGTCTTCCATACAATGGGGTGTGTAAATATAGACATGTATAGATGTATGTATATAAGATCTACTATTGAAGTATTCCTATTGGCCTAATTCTAAAGCATTTCCCCCTGAAGGCCTTGTGTGTTGGGACATTGTGTTGAACTGATTGGTAAATAATGTTGATTCTTAGTCCTGTTTAAATTTACTACATTTGAAGACTATACACAGTCTTTCCTTCGGCTACTCTGAGTGAAATCAGATGCAAAGCTGTCTCTGTAACTTGGTGCAAGAATTTTCCATTTTTCCGTCAATATGTTCTGACTGTCTTTGCTTATTTCCAGCAGTGTTGCTCAGTTCTAGGGACATTAGCACAATATAGCAACCTGTATGGCCATATTTGATTCTTACCATTCTTAAACTTGCTGCTTAAAGGAATAGTTTTCCACCATGCAGTCGATCATTTCAGACATTTTGTCCAAATTCTGCTCGTTTAGTTTAGAAGTGGAGCTGCTAGGCTAAGATTTCTAACAAACATTGGAGGTAAGTAATCACCCAAACCATTTCCATAAAATGCTGAAAAACACTCTCAACCTACTCCAATTGCAACCAGGTCATGCAGACAAGTTGATGTGGTTTAGAACACAGTGTGAATATGAGCTGTAAAAACAAAGAACAGTGTAGCTAAAAGAAGTGTCAGTCATCTAAGACAACCGGAATCATTTCTTTCTTTCATTTCTTTTCTTTCAATTTTCCACAATTTGGTATCCTTACGCACAAGACGACCAAAAACAGGACTAAAGGAAATCACAGCTCAAATGCACCATAGTTTAATGTAGGAAGAGAAGCTAAGCAAGCTCACTCAGAAAATCAATGCATAGTCAGATTATGAATTATCTGCACAAATGAGCCTTAACCGTGTATGTTTTAACCCCAATGTACACAAGTACAAATGTGTCAGTTGGATGCTGGACCCACCAGTGACTCTTCAGACCCTGCTGTTTTCATACAACAGGGACCTGGCAGTGTAACTGGTAGTGCCGGGTGATGCTGATAGTGTGTCTGCTCCTCATTTTCATAGGTTTATCATATTATAGTAATTTAGTAATTCCTTGGGTATTACTGTGCAAACACTGTGTACCTACCTAGTGACGTTTTATAGCATGCCTCTGCGCTCCAGCCTCGCAGTGTTTGGAGGCAGAATAGTACCGGAACATAGGATGATGTTTACATAGCTCATCAATGTAACTTGAAGCAACTGTATGGTTTTGGTGACTATTGACTTGAGTGTTTATTTAGCACTGTTAGTCTAGCTGCTCCAGTTCTAAACTAAAGAGCCATCTGCATTTATTGACTGCATTTGGCATAAGTGGAAAATCCTGTAAATGAAAATTTTTGCTTATGTATTTGCTTCTCAACCTGAATTTGTTTTGCCCTTTTTTTTGAATCAAGACTCTCCCCATAGTTGTTTCTTGGGACTGATTTGAGTTGAGTGCTGCTTCAGTAATTTAAGACTTGTGTGCTCGGAAGGTTCATGAGCGTGTAGACAAATGTGAAAGAGGAAAAACACAATGGGAGCACCTTGATGAAATGTGATGCCAAATTGCTTCTTTTGGTGTGTATTTTCTGTCTGAAATTAAATTAAGCCTTCCCCTTTTCATTTTTCTCCCAAATCCCTCTCACACTCCCCCAACCCCCTCGACCCACCATCCTGATTGAGGCTAGTGGGCTATGTGAACACTACACTGTGGCTGACATGAATGTGTAGAACATATTACAAAAAACATCATTGTATGTAATGTACATAATGAATAAAGATTGTATTTTGTTCAGGTTTTCTAAGTAAAACCCAAAGCCTTGTCATTTCTTAGACACTTGGAATATTTGTGAAACAACTTTTATTTAAAAGGACAAATTTGATTCCTTGGAAAAAGAAATAATATAATCAACAGTAGTGGCTTCCAGTGTATCAGACCCCTGTTGTTTGCCTTCACTGGCAAACGCAAGTTTTAATACAGATTATAAAATACATACAAAATACTCATCAGTGGAATTCAAACACCTATAACGAGAGTGTGCGTTATAATGAGATACCTATGAACATTTCCTGGAGTATCTGAAGTGTAGTGCTTTAATATCTAAACCACATTGGACAGTTATACATAATTTAAATATTTAAGAAAAAGAACGTTGAAAAATACGTAGCTGCAACTAACAGTTTTCAATCAAAATTGTCAATTAACTTGGTGACCAAGTAGCTGTAAGCTAATGTAAGGGCAATAAGCCAGAAACTAACTGCATGGTGTACTTTTACTTGAGAGACGAGAACTACAGACATAAAAGTCAAAAATAACCAGTGTATATACAAACAGTTCATCTCTTGTCAGAACCCTGAAAAGGTTCAGACACTTTCGTCAAAAGTTAGAAACTGGAACGGGCTCCTTCAGTCAGTTTTGATCAAGCGCGACTCTGGATTTCTTATTGATTCGGTCAGCTTTAATCTGATGTTTTATGTGGAGTCTAGCACCTCTTTGCAACAAGACAGTTAAACAGTTGCAGAGCTAAAGAAAATTGCAAGCTGTGAAAGCTGCTGTCAGGTAAACTACACTAAGCTGTGTGGTGATCTAATGTTCTACAGAATCCATAATATCGGCAGTCGTGAGGTGCTTTGGTCATCTACTTACTGATGCTTTCACATTGCAGCTTTAAAGCAGTGCAACAGAACCAGGCCTACAGTCTAAAATACCAGGATGATCAGGATTAATCCATAGGTCTCACCCTAATGCTTGTGATCAATATCTGTGGGAGTTACCAAGTCGCAAAAAGTTAAAAACATTATATACAGGTGCAGCAGTGTACATTCCTCTGAAGAATTACGAGTGAAATACAAGATCGACTGAAACCCCTTTTCGTGTGGGTGTAGCAATATGTGTGCCTTAAAATCTTTCCCGCAAATTTTCAGTGTTCTTTGAAGATAGACCCTACTCCTGTTTCAGCGTTATGGCACGCGGACAGGCCACAGGCTATCCTTTGATCATCCTTCTGTATTTCTCACTGTGGCCTCTGCCCTTTTGGCATTAAATCAGGTTTAGTAAATGTGTCCAATTACTGTTGGGCCCTCGGATAGTCTTTACAGCAGTCTGTCGTCCGACCATTGGACTGTGTTGTGATATATTCTTGATGTCCATCATTAAGCTGGGCAAGTGTCCCCTTTACAGGTGAGTGTCCTCCTCGTCAGGTATGTCCTCTTTGGCCAGGTTGTCGATGGGCACAATCCAGCTGTCGTTGAACTCTCCATTCAGCGTCAGCTTCTTCTCCTGCATCTCCGGCTGCACCTCCATCACCTCCAGAGTGGGGTTGTCATGGTAACCATTCTCCACTGTCTGGAGCTCCTCAGTCAGGTGTTGCTGTAGAGAAGTAGTGGACGTGGTCAGGGAAGGGACAATGTGACATGATCATCATAATGTTTGACGTCAGGGGTGCACTGAAATTTAAGCGCCCAAAAATATTAAAGATTAAATGGGCCCAAAATGAAGTGTCAAAATCTAAGACATGGCAAATTAATGTCATGGTAATGAAAATGAGAAAACATTTTTGTCCTGCACTGGTCAGCGCAGACTGATGTTCAAACAGTTTGAGTGGTAGCAACTAACAGTGAAAATATCAGCCGCGTGGAGCTACTTCACAGTTTCTGAGAGGAACATAAGACAAGCGATCTATAAGGTGCGCCAGCCTTGTGACTGGAAGGTTGTCGGTTTGATCCCCTGAGCCGACAGTATGTGACTGAAGTGCCCTTGAGCAAGGCACCTAACCCCCAGCTGCTCCACGGCGCTCCGGATAAGGCTGCCCACCACTCCAGGCAAGTGTGCTCACTGCCTCCTAGTGTGTGTATTCACTAGTGTGTATGTGGTGTTTCACTGCACAGATGGGTTAAAGGTGGAGGTGAAATCTCCCCGTTGTGGGACTAATAAGCCTCACTTAATCTAATCTATAATCTCTGTTCATGTCGAGTATCAGGAGGAACAACTCCTCCACTACAGGGTTCATAGCACTGGAAAACATGACTCAATACACAGAACACAGCAAAACATCAAAAGCAGAAAGAAAAGTATGAATACGCTGTCTATAGCCACAGTTTATGAAATGACTAACAAAAAAAAAAAATCTCAAGCGAAAAACAAAAGTGCAAGCTGATGGCTTCCTACTCACCAGCTTCTTATTCAAATTTTCTGTCCCACCTTAAATTTTGCAGCTCTTGCATGTAGTTGTATGTAGCTCCATTTAAGGTGAAATGGGAAATTTACTTTTTCATTTAATTTTTTTACTTAAAGATTTTCCAAATTTACTTTTTTCATTACTGAAATGACTTCCATTATTTTTTAAGCTTTGTTGAAAAACAATGGAAGTCATTGCCTTGGATGACGAACCGTTCTCTGTTCTCGACGACATCTGTGTGTGATTCTGTGTCACATACTGTTGCCCAAATACTGTAATAATTTTAGTAAGTGTATTGTATTTGTATTATGTTGTTGTTTTTTTTTTTTTTGAGGTTTTTATGGCAACCAAAAATTTTCGTTTCAGTGCATCACTCTGTGTCTTTACCCTCAGACTTCTGCCCTCTTCCACCATTCTTCAAGATTCATTTCAGCAAGATGAGGCTCAGCGGTGTCCTAGGAATAGAGCTCATGGATCGACTAGGGTTTACTAGAGTCATCGCTCTTGGATGTAGTACCTGGTGCTGTACAGTCCGTCTGTGGTCCTGCTCAGTAACTCCAGCCTGACCACCACAGGACTGGAAATCCCACCAATGATCTGCTGATAATCTTTTTAAGTGTCACATTCTATAATGTGGTTATTTTGAAGAACAACCAAATATAATGTCAGCGATAAGGGGTGTAAATAGCTTCTTACACCAAGTGTTCATTAGTCTTAAAAAAAACAGGCATTTGGAGACTCTGGAGCTCTTAATACTGCATGGTGCTTGAATACTGTAATGAGCAACAGCTTTGCAGACTGGTGACAGGTTCAAATCCCTGTACAGACAGTAATGTTGATGCCTTTGGAAAAATTCTTAACAATATGTTTGGTTTTATCAGAAACATGATTATACTGATCTACTGTTGATCAGAAGGACTGAAATATTCACTAAATCCCCTCAAAACGTCTGAGCACGGGCCTCACTGAACCATTACGTCATCTGCCATTGCACCGTGCTGCCATGATTCAAAGTTCCATCTGTGCAGCAAGCCATTTCAGCAACACCCCCAACAGGTCCAGTGTATTTCAATCTGCTGGAATGACCTGAACATTATATGGCAGGTAAGGAAATGATGTGTCGGCTTATTGTGTCCCTACCAGCGACTGTATGAGACGTGAGTTTTGTTTGAAGTCTCTGCTGTGTAAGACACGGAGCACGATCGTTGTTTTACCTGGTTCTTCCTGTAGGACCTGTGGTGGCACCCGCAGTACAGAGCGAAACAAGCAAGGAAGAGCAACAGGGCGCCACACGAAGACAAGATGGCAATCAGAGTGCTAGGCACCGGTGTGGGTTCAGGCTTTGACTGCAGATAAAAAACAGGTGCATTCAGACATATTGCACCATTTATAAACAATATCATTACAAGCTAAGTAGTGTGCCTTACCCTTTTTTCCTTAATGTAGATTTTCGTTGCTTCTGATGGATCAACTACCAGAAGAAGAGGACATGATTAGTCTTCATTGAGATGAAGCAGCCGCAGTGGAATCTTAGAAATGGCTGCGCTTGATGGACTTTTAAAAAGTTGTCATAACCTCACCTGTCAGACTCACAGAGATGATGTGGTAATCATTATCTCTTTCGTTTACCTCCAGATTGCAGCCAGTAGCTGAGTTGTAATTTTTTATGAGTTCTCGACAAGTTCGAACAAAGATATTCTGTGAAAGGAAAAGGGTAGAGTTGTACTCTCACTCTCCGCAAGTTCTATGAATTAAAGATTATCTACACTAATAATAACAAAGTAATTGACAATATAATAACTGAATATCACAACCACATGGAGGCAACTGCATAACTGAAGTGGCATCCGTAAGCGCTATTTGCTGAACTGCCAAGAACCACTATTACATTCAAAAGGTTCTTTGAGTTGTCATTGTTCTATATATAACCGTTGCATGTTTTAAAAATCCCAAAATCCTTTTTTTTTAGTGTAAAATTCTATAGCAAGACTTAAATCTTGGTACTTGATCCATCAATGACACAACAAATCTAAACTAAGATTAAAATGGTAAGGCTCATTATTGTGAATTATTTCCTATACACTCTGTCAAAATACAGTGTAAAAAAAAAAAATAAAAAAACTTAGTTTAGACAAAAGTTTTCCTAACTTACATTTTAGTACTGCAGTTAAGTTTAAAATACAGCTGAGCTTACTCAAAAAGCACCACTTTGCAATAACCTTTATGTAAAGGGTTTATGAATGGTTTGAAAGTAGTTAATTAATAGTTCTGAGTTAGGTTATAAAGACTAAAAACACTAATAAGCAGTTATAATGTACATAAAAAAGGAAACAGTGAACTGTTGATTGCCAAATAGTGAGCCCACATTCTATATGTATTGTTAGTATAGATAGAATGTGTGAAAGTGTGAACACACCAGTTCAAGTGACGTTGAACAATGCAATTTGGCTGCAAAGTTTATTGTACATTTTCCATTTACTTGCTATGTTTAATTTACAGAAAAAGAATAAAACATAAAATATGAAATGTGCCATAACTTTTGCACAGACCACATTTTCTGTTTTATTTCTCTCCCAATTTGTTAAATTCAGCAAATGGACAGTAATTGTGCATTAAATGTGTAGAACTCTATCTCAGCAGAAGATGTGTCAACTTATTTTCACTCAGAAAATCAACAAAGCATGTAAAGGGGTGCCCACATTTTTACATACAACTGCATTGTAACATATATGAGAAACCCGTTGGACTGGTCATTTAGCACAGAGGTCTGCGCTTAGCTTTAAGCTGTGATTGCCACATTCGCACCATCAGTTCCAAATGCTGTTAAATTCCACCGTGGAATTCTGTCTTTTTCGATACAGGAACATGTTTTTTTTTTGCAAATGCAATTTTACAGCAGCAGCTCTGGCTACATCAACAAGTATGTTATTATTAAAAAGTACCACTTCCGCCCCCTACCACCCCCCACCCACACTGTGTCTGCAAATGTGTCGAGTGGTAGAGTGAACGGCCATGTTTAAAGCTCGATTAAAGTTGAAGTGGTCTTACGTCATTACTCGTATCCTGAATATCTTCCTTTGTGATTTTCTTCTGCAGAAAAGAACAAAGAAGCATTAAATTTTATCATCAGCGTGAAGAAATGAAAAACAACAACACCACCACCATCTACTTACGTTGAATGGTTTGATGGACCCAGTTGATGGAGGCCTATTTAATTCTGGTGTTGGAGTAGATCTCTGATGGATATCTGTAATAAAAAAAAAAAACTAAACTTTTTTTATCTGTTTAAGGTCATTTTAACAATGCTTTATAGAAGGGAAATATGCAGATTAGGGTTGCTGAGCACAAACTGTGTAATTCTGCAAGAGTATATTTATTCCAAACGTAACATTAAAGTACTGTATAAACTGTTACCTAGTGTTGTTACAGCCTCTTCGCTTCGATTGGTTGTTGCTGCGATCTGGGTGGTCTTAGCTACAGGTGAATCTGTAACAGACGGACTGGCATCTTTTGAGTTAGTGCTTAATATTGATGGTGTAATAATGGAAACTGCTGTGAAACTGCTCTGAGTAGAGTTACTGTCCTGAGCAATTGGGCCTGGCGTATTTGAGCTCGTGCTGATTAATATGCCGATGTTCGGCGCTGTGGTGTGGCTCCCTGTAGGGGATGATGGAGTGGTAGGTGCTTTAGTTTCTGTTGAACCCTGTGCAGTTGTGCTGTTTGAGGTTGTAGCTTTGGCATTTGTAGTCAACTGAGGACTGGTCCCACTGTTTACAGAAGTATCACTGGCTTGAGTAGTAGCAGGGGCATTTGGGCCTTGGAGGAGAAAAGCAATGGAAAAACAGACCACTATTAGTTGAAAAAATAAATATTCTAAACATATTTCATAGGTCTGACTTCATTGGTTATGTCATTAGTTACATTTACTGAGTTACATGTACTCAAGTAACATTTTAATGGATGTTTAATACCCTCAGTGTTTTAAATGATACAACGTTTTTACTTACTAAGTATATTAGTGAGTAAAGAAATTTACTTTTTGCTCAGTTATATTTTAGTCATTAACATTTAGTTAATGATTCCCCAATTCTTTTTTGTGTTTAGTTTGGTTTATTGGTGACTGCATCTGTGCTGTACTGCTTTGTGATTGGTCACATCTCTGACCTCTCTGAGGTTTTAATATAAAAAGTATTTATTATAAAAAAAAAATCTATCTTCTTATATTCTATAACATGTCTCTATATATATCCTAAAAATAAGTTAACACTTCATCTACAGTGAACAAATTTAAATATGCCAATCGTCTGCACATTTCAGTGCACAGTTTCTATTTATTTGCTGACTCTAACATATTAGAAAAATACAAAACATGAAATATAAAATGTGCCACAACTGTTGCACAAGCCACATTTACGTATTACGTTGTTTTTTTCCCAGTATGTTAAATTCAGCAAATAAACACTAGCTGTGCATTGAAATGTCTGTTCTCAGTAGAGGCTGTACACTTCTCTTCACTTAAAAAATAAAATAAAAATAAAATAAAAAAGGTAAATTGAGCAGGGGTGCCTAAACTGTATCTGACTGTCTGGCTCAGAGAGACTGGCTTGATTATAAATACCTTGTGATGTTGGGGTCAAGTCTTTACTAGTTGGTTGTGCTCCGGTGGTTGGTTTTGTAGCAACAGTGGTAAGAGTAGCAGCTGGGGTTGGCAGTGTTGTTGTGTGACTCGAGGAAGCAGAAGAGGTTGGAGGAGCAGAAGAGGTCGGAGGAGCAGAAGAGGTTGGAGGAGCAGAAGAGGTCGGTGGAGCAGAAGAGGTCGGGGGAGCAGAAGAGGTCGAGGAAGCAGAAGTGGGAGGCTGAACAGTAATGGTCGGGGAAGCAGGAGACGTAGGCTGAGCAGAGGAGGTTGAAGGACTGGTACTGGTAGAGGGATCTGCGTTTGTGTATTGGAGGAGAAAACCTGAAATAAAATAGAATGAAAAAGAAATATTTTTCATTTATTTAATTTCCAGTCAAAACGGACATTAAGAACAACTTATTCATTTCCCAGGAGATATTTCTGAGGAGATTAGATAAAATCATACACTTGCATGAGGAAGGGGAAAGGGGAAAATGAGTGAAAAAAAACTGTCCCCATCACATAAACAGCACTTAAGCTTTCATCTTTGAGAAGGAGGAGAAAATCAAGCTGCTTCAGATCTGAAAACATCCACGTTGCTGTCCATGCTTCCACTGTGAGAACACCACTCAGCTCTGAGTTTGAAAGGATGTGTAGCTGTCAAGAAGCTCTCACTGAGAAAAGGATATCAACCTAATAAACTGCTGTTCTCAGAGCAATGGACTGACCTCATCAATATCAGTGAAGGTGTTACTTGGATATGAGAAGGAGAAAATGTAACCAACTTCTAAGACTGAACTTTATAGGTGTGGAAAAACATCCCTGCAGATTTCTTTGAAAAACTGAAAGCGAGTCTCAATGAAAGCTGTCATAAAAGTAAAGAGTGAAGACTCTGAATACTGAGAAATTTGACGTTATATCTTGTGTTGAAAACTTCAGTGTAACTTTCTGTTAAATATATTTTCTGTTTTTTCCTTAAGATGAAAAATGAACTTGTACTTAAGGCCGTTTTGACGTACAATACTCTATGCTGCATACGGTAAAAACTCACCAAAATATTTTTTCTGCAACACTTCTTTAGCTTATTTTGTTCAGCAGCTGTGCTGGAGGTTCATTACTGTCTCTATTTATAGCTAGAGAGACAGAGCAGTCCAAACAATTAGGTAGGAAGTAACACACCTACTCCAACCACAGAGGCCTAAACAATGGTGGTCAGTCCCGAGAGTCCGACAACAATATTCTTTCATGAGCTCTTAACGCACTCTTCAGACTAAAGAAGTTAACATAGCTACTTTAGATCAAAATATAACTGAAGACCAGTACGGGTTAATCAGCTCTTTCATTTCAGTGAGTGAAAGAGACAGAGAACCTGAGGCTGCTGCTATTTACGCTCAATTACCTGACTGAAGTTTTGGTCACAGTGTAGAGACACAGACAAGACTTTGTTGACTTTTCTGACAACATATCATTTCAAAACAATGAAAAAAGTGACGTAAAGGATGTAGCAGGCAAACATTGTTTAAAGGTCCCATATCATGGAAAATGTTCACTTTTTTTGAAATAAGAGTTTGATCTACAGCCCTGTTTGTCAAAGGCAGATGTATGCAGGATGTGCAAATTATTTAAATGTGCATATATATTTTAAAAACTATTCCATTTCTCAGTTTCAACATTTGATGTGTTGTCTTTATACTATTTTCATTTAAGTATAGGTGTAAATGATTTGCACATCATTGCAGTCCGTCTTTATTTACTGATAAAAGATGTCTTTATTTATGCTAAACTTGTAACAATAGAAGAACCCTTTTTGGTGCTACATAGAATGCTTTTCTGAAAGGTTCTATAAGAGGGGTTCTCACCCCCACCTAATCCCACCTGTGTATAACTACAAAGCGTAGCGGCCCACAGAAAAAACTAAAATCAACTTTTTAAAATACAGCTTTAGTTTACTTTTCTTAAACGCTGACACTGAAAACCTGAAAATTAGGTCCTGACAAAGATCAGATCAGCCATTCTGGTTGTCGGTAGGTTTGCAAAATTTGCAGGTATGTTAAAAACATGCAACATGTCAAAATACCACATGGTTGTAGTGATGTCAAAAAGGCGGGGAAAAAGAAAAAAAAAAGAATAGAAATGACCCAAATAGGGGTGGAGTGTTCACACATGTCAAAACAGAGCGAACTAAAAAACCTGTGATAAGTCCAAACCAAACTAAGCGCCTTGGAACACTTCTCCATCTCTGGCTAGCTGTTTGCATCATGCACCCGTGGCTGTGTTGTCTCAGACTGATGACGTATCCACGAATATTTATAACGGTTCTACTGTGAAAACGTTTAATTCTTAGATTTTTAATTATTAAGTTAACCATTTTTCCACTTATGTTTTTATTACTTACAGTAATGTTACCGGCCCGAATTACTAGCTCCCTCTGAGTACATTCCCGCGGACCACTAGAGGGTGCCTCACGGCCCACAGGTTGAGAAACCCTGTTCTATATAGAACCATCTATAGCACATTCTCCATCAATCTGAAGAACCCTTTCTTGATGCAAAGAACCCTTTAAGCATGCAAATGATTCTTTAAGTGTTCACAGGTCTATATAGAACCATTTTCTTTACTAGAGAACCCTTGAAGAACCATCTTTTTTTAAGAGAGTAGTGTATGTAAAGTGTACATCACACAAAATGTTAAGAAAAGTGAAAGTTCTTTTATTATAAGAAGTCTCACTGTTAGACCCTCCAAAACAGTCCACTGTATGGCCTATAGTCAAGTGAAATCTTTTTAATTGTATACATTGTAAAATAAAGGTGAACCATAACAAAAATTCACATGGCACGTGAAAGAGAACAGAAGAATGATAATTTGCATAATATCAGTAATATCTTTTTTAGATTAATGCAATACTCAATAACATTATCTATCATGCAAGGCTCCTAATTTCAGCTTTGACTACTTACTGGAGAAGGTGTGATGTTTGTGTTTCCTAACTCATCCTCACACATCTGTCTTTGATTGCTGTGGTTCTATCTTTAAGGCTGACCCTCACTGACACCCCCTGTCAGTAGCGGCCTGTTTATCCCCCATCAACAGGGCTGCTGATTGTGACTATCAGTGAAGGGGCCATGTGGAGTTCCACCCATGACCATTCTGCTCCCACAGTCACCTATCTTAATCCCACCTGCACCTCCTCAGACACACTTTGTGCTCTTGGACCACCCCACCCCACACCCCCGGTCACATAATATCCTCTGTATCTCTGCTACAGGCTCCAGCACTGTAGATGCTCTTTCCAGGGTCATCATTCCCTCTGATAAGTGCAGGATATCTCTCAGTTACTGAAACCTGAAGAGCTGAATGGCAGCAGATGCACTGAGGGTTCTCATATTTTTCAGCCCTGAGTGCTCCACTGCTTACTCCAGATCTCCAGAGCTTCAGCCAGTGCAAAGTCTCTCCCCTTCATTGCTATGAACTCACCATAACAAAAGGGTTCTTTAAAGTGATGCCATTGAAGAACCACTTTTGGTTCCCTAAGGGACCTTCCAATAGATGGTTATTTAAAGGAACATTTTTGTGATTTGCAAGCGTGAAGAACCTTTTCAAAGTTCAAGGATCCTCCACATAGTTAAAGGCTTCTCCTAGAACCATACACAAAACTAGGAACTCTTTTTAGGAGACAATATTTGTAGGAGATAAACAAAACAGAAAAATACATATACAGTCGTAAGCAAAAGTCAAATTACATGTTTGTCGATTTTCTAAGTGAAAATAAGTTAAAGCATCCTGTACAGGGGACAAACAAACATTTTGCTGCTATTTTTTTGCTGAGTTTAACATGTTCTAACGTAAAATATAAAACATATTGGATGTTTTAACTTGTTTTCACTTAGAAAATCAACAAAGCAAATCATTTGACCAGGGTGCCTAAATTTTTGCATACAACTGCATATTTTATGTCAATATTTCATTATTTTTTATAAATATTACAAGGATGGATGTTTGTGGTTGAATTTGTGTTAGATATAAGTCCTTCTCTCTGAGGATGGGTGTGAGAACCAGTTGAATTTTTTGCAGGGTTTCCTGTCCGCTGTTGACCTCTTATGCAACTGGATGGGTGTCTCCTCTATTTTGCTAACGGCCTGTAAAAGCAATCTACTGAGAATCTACCAAATCTGAGCGGAGATGATAAAGTATGAAGCTTTCATCTTTGTTGGAGTTGGATTTTAATGGAATTTAAAACTGATCCACAGTGTTGAATTTTCTGATTAGAGCTATGATTAAAAAAGAGCAAATTTATAAAAATATCCTTTTATCCCAAATGTGGTTGATCAGCCAAGACGTGTTTGGTTTGAAGTTGGCTTATGATTATATTGATCAATGGCTTTGAAATTCTCTTGCATGGTGCTGTGAATGTCTGCTGCAAGCTATTTCAAGGGTAGGACTAAGTGTAATATATGTCTGGAGAGCTGCCCCACAGTCAGTCAGATGAAGGGTCTGGCAGTGCGTCCCCTCTGAGCTGGACTTGTTAAGTGTGTTCTGCTTTGTTCAAACAGCCGAATGAGGATGACAGTCGGATGCGAGGGTGGAGACCTGTTGAATAGTTTGACTTCCTGCTGGGGGTAATGTTGTAAAGCATAACAACAGGGCCATAAATCACACACGTTCACACACAACACCATCTGGCGTGATATACAGGCACTTAAAAAATCACATATATCAGAGCAGCCATGTGCCTATAACTTTAATGCTTATTTCTGTTGAATAACTCATAGTCCTAGTATTCCGCATCTTATGATCTGTCTCATTCCGAAAACACGGATAATGAGTAGGTGCGCACCCATATGGGAATTCTGGGCCAATGATAATATGTGTACATTTACAGTCACATGCAGAGGTTTGATTAACCCCGGAGAAATTACATGATCTGCTGATTTTGTAAATCAGTAAAAATAAGTCATATTTCAAACATATTTAAGTTCCTCTACAGGGAACTACAGGGAAATATGGCATTTTTCTGCTAATTTTAGTGCATAATATATTTGCTGGGTTTAACACATTGGAAAAAAATAAATAAATAAAACTTTTGCACAGGCAATATTTTATTTTAAGTTTGGGCACCCAAACTTTTTGCCGACAACTATATGTACATGTGAATGTGTCTGTGCATGTATGTGCACATTGCTGTTTGCATACTGTTGCTGTCAAATCAAAACTTTGTATTTACACCATTTTAATATTTCAGATGTTTATTCCTTGTAACACAAACATAAAAATTCAAGTGTAAAAGTTTTTTCTCTCTACTCTAAAGTTACCATTTGAGAGAGAAGAGATTTTGTTACGACAGT